AATCTTCTGCTTTGGCATGATGTGTAGCTACACATTCCTGTTCATGTCAGAATACAATAATGATATATTGTATAGAATTATAGAATATGATAGAAAAGATCCCTTTTTTAGTGTGAACCTTCTATTAATACATTCAAACTGGACTTTTCGCTTACCTGTATTTAAAATGGCATTTTGAAGTGTTTGTACAGCAGTTTTGGATATGAATATGCATTTTATTTTCATAATCAATTGTACAAGTCCACATTTTGAATTATTTTCAAATAAAAACTGCATTTTGTCTTCATTTGCACCAGAAACACATTTGGTAAATTAATTGGAATTTGCATGATTGTTAGAGTGAAATATCAGTGCTTTATTCAGTCTTTGAAGACAGCTGATTGCTATACAACATAGAATCTCAAACACTGTGATTAGAGTGTTAGTGCCCACAATCATGAGGTTCTGTTACTTCAGTTTTCTCTCAGATCAAACATTTAGTTACAGCAAAGAGATGTAGTGGTTTGACTGTTTTACAATACTAAGTTTGGACTGCTGCAATGGTAATTATCTCCTTTAAACCATGGCTTCCTGGCTAGCTAACCGAACAAATTTGAATAACTGCATAGTAGCAATGCAGAAGAATAGTATGATATTTGTTTAGATTAATTCTAATTTTGTCAATGCAAAATTGTAATTACCAGAGAATTCACAATTCATAACAAAATGATGCTAAAGTGTTAATTTGTCATCTTGAGCTATTTTAAAATTCTGCCATGCTAGTAATTTTTTTTTAAACTTCCTGTAACGATATCTTTAATAAAACTTACATGACATCACGTCATGACCAAGACTATTACAGAGCAAACCCTTAACTGTCATCATCAGTGCTGACCATTACAGCACAAACCTTTAGCACCTCAGCCTCATCAACACACTGATCAGTACAGCACAAACCTTTTACAGCCCTGTACGATAATCACACCGACCATTACACCACAAACCATTAACAACCCAGTTAGGATGAGTGAGTCAGACTGAGTGCAATAATTTACTCTTTAAAAAAGCAAAATCTGTTTAGTTTTGTAAAGACAATTCCAGTACAGTGTTTCAATAATGGTCACCTGAAGAAGCAAACACAAATGGCTGTGTAATTCTTTTCTATACATTGTTCAAAGTACTGTAGTGTTTTTCATATCTAGCACAAAACATTTTAAACTTACAGTAAATAAACACTATGTGTTTTGCCCAGGCTTTCCCGGTGTTGCCACTGGAAGTAAGCACATTCTCATGGGGTCTCAATCCCAAACCAAACCCCGTTTCCCGAATAATTCAGTTATCTGGTTCTGGAGCACACTCATATTGAGTGAGCTACAGCGTCAGTTGCACTGCTTGAGTGAACTGCGCCTAAGCCACCTAAGCTTTTTTCCCCAAGCCCTGAATGAGCAGAGATGTTTTTTTCCCTGCTGCATTTTATTCTGGTTGCAGGAAGTTTTCTCTTCTCTTTTTGTTTGTGCTACTCTCAGTCGCCAGCCCTTTTTACTACCATCAAGGCAACACCTTTACCATTGCTTGCATTGCAGTGCCTTATATCTCCTCCTCCACTGCTTGCAAGTTTCCTACCTATTATTTTTTCCTTCATGCCTGACTCCATTAATCTTTCAATTATCCTGCATTTATTTCTCCCATACCTCATGTTTAAGCCTTGCTCCATCCAAAGATCCCCGAGGTTCTGAGACCATGAGACCCTGAGTTTGGAGTTCGGTCCTGAACTTCAGGGATAGCAGCATAACACTATGATTACAATATTCTATTACTATAGTATGTGTTGTATTTACCACCCAGGACACAAAGCAATAACATTTTACGTTTTACGTTAGTCATTTTACAAATGTTTCCAGGGTGCAATGATAACTTTTAAAAGGAAAATCCACCTTTGAATAAGGAATGCAGGATAAACAAAATCCACATCCTAGTAGTCTCTTTGTCTTGAAGGTAGGAAAAGAATCCTGCATCGTTATGTGGATATTGTTGCAATCTTTCCTTAAACCTACAGTACAAAGAGATGTTTTACTTCACATTCTCTCTTCCTTGTTAGGTTGCTGTACTCTCACAATCACTTTTTTAACTTTTTATTTATTGTATGTTTAAAGGACTCAATGGGCAATGTACTTTTTTCTCCTACTAGGATTGCTGCTGATTTCCAGATCCAGACCCAAACCCATACTAAACATTTAATTCTAAAACTAGATTATACAGTTTCTGCTTCCTGTTTCTCAGGTACTACAGTTCTGCATTTAAGTCTGAAAAAGGGAGCCTGGCCTATGAGAACACTCTCGGGAACTCAGGAAATCATCCGAGATTCTCATCTGCTGTGACCTCACTCTCCCTAGTTCTAAACGCTACACAGGAATTGGTGCCAGATGGTTGGGACCCTTGTGTGCCAATGCCATTGAAAACTCCTGTAGGGATTTTTTGCATGTATTGGGACAATTATTAATTATTAACAATTAACTTAATTAATTAATTGTAAAGTAATTAACAATTATTAAAAGTAAAGCACACATTATATAGGAATGTACATATAATAGAAATACACAGACTACTTTCCTTTTTGTGAGTGTTTGGGGGCTCAGTAAAGTTAATGTTTCTGTACATGATTGTTCCAAAATATGCTATTCTGTAAACAGTGTTATCCACTGTTGATATGGTCATGTCTGTGCTAAAATTATAGGTTCCTAGCTCCAAGTTATGTGTTTTTAGACTGCATAGATTCGCTACCAAGAAAATAACATCCCTAATAAGCTTAAAATGTTATGAGTGCTCCTTCCAACAGAAAATAATTTCTAATTTCTAATCTGTGTAGCGGTGAGGCTTATTAATAAGAAAGAATTAAGTGTTCTGAGCCTTTCCAAATGAGGCCCCATTTCTCTGTTCATCTCTGTGGTGCAGCCACAGAGAAACTATTCATGCAGGCTGATTTAAGGTTCCTTTGATAAGGACAGCTCCCAAAGGGGGATGCACTTAGCTAAGCCTGGCTATCATGATCAATGGTCATCCATTGGCGCCTATCTGTCTAGGGAGTGCCAGATGGACATCTGGACTGCATTCCTAAGTGTCAGGAGTAAGTGACTCATATCTCACCTTGATCAACCAATCAGGGACTGGTAGGGCCGAGTAACCCACGTGGGACTCTGATGCCCATGGAACTTTCAGCCAATCAACGAGCTGAAGTTTCTCCAGGTAAAAACAGGCAACACAGAGAGCCTGGGAGATTCAGTAAGATTCAGGAGAGAATTCAGTGGACTTTTCTAAAGGGAATTCAAAGGAGAATTCCAGGGCAGGACAGCCCAGGAGCAGAAGGCTCCCAAGGGCAGGACATTCTCGCAGCGCGCCTCCTGACCATCCTGAGACTCAGCCACGGAACGGCCAGTGTGTCCGAGTACCAGAACTTTCCTTTGTTCTAAGAGTCTAGAGTGGAGTAACCAGAGGATCCACCCGAGGTTAGCACCAGCAGCAAGCCTCGTGAACAGGTCGGAACTGTGGACAGCTGAATCACTATTCAGAACTAGCTCTTCATCAGGAACGAACCGGTCCTCTTCCTGACTTGCTGGGACCCACAGTCATCTTTTCTCCTGTGCACAAGCTTTGCTAGTTAAAGCCAACACTAACTAGCCGGTCAGTGAGCATCAGCAGCGCACCGTCGCAAGCCGCACAGCACAGCCTGGCACCGAGCCAGAGAGCGCGGATTGGACAGCAACAGCCTGCAACTGTTTCTTTGTGCCCGCAGGAGATCTGAATCCCCAGAGATAGGATGAGTCCCCCAGAGATAGGATGAGTTCAACTTCACTGCATTACAGCTCGAGAATTAAATTGTTATCCAAACCAGTTGATATCAATTTAATTCCTAAGTGTTATGTACTTGTTTGAGTATCTAATGTAGAAGTTATAACCAAGTTCATTTATGAAACGGTCTAAATGAATGATATACTGAACGTATGTCCTCTTGATATGTGTAACACTTCGTAACTGACTGAATATATACCTTTTGTATTCTGATAACCCTCTCGATACGATCTGTTAGTTTTACATGCATATTCTATGTATTAATAAATGTATCCTCGTGTATTAGTACCTGTGTGTGTGCGTTGTTTGAGTTATGTCGCATGATTGGATTCTAAAGCCATCAAAAGAATCAATTTTGTGATTTACTGCTACAATTAATAATTGTCTCAGTAAATGCCCAAACCCTACAGAACTGGTGCCTTCAGAGAGTGCACTACATTTCATTTTGCTATGGCAACATTACATATTTGGCGTCCCTGGGCTGGCTATGATTACATATTTGGCGTCCCTGGGCCGGCCAACGTTACATTTATGGCATCCCTGAGTGGCTATGATTACATCTGTGTAATCATGCATTGTACTCAAAATCTGTTACCAGTACTTCAGAACATTTCCAGCTTCCTTGCTCTTCTTGCTTCCTTCCTACCACAAAGGGCTTACCTGAATTGCAAACAGTAAAGTTCCTTGTTTTGCTGTGGTTATGTGCTTAGGAAGTGAAAGCGAAAAATGTTTTGTACTGTAGCTTACTTTGAGAATGCACATGCCACATGAGAACGACAGGTGCATGTTTAGAAAAGAAAGACCGTAATGTTTTCCTTTTTAGCAGTTGACAATTTGTTCTCATCATAAACATGAGCTTAAGGGGATTCAGAACAAGCACATTTATTATAGCCTCGTGGTGGCTCTCCTCACTCAAATTGAATTCTATTATGAGGGAAGAAACTGTTAAGATTCAGCAGTGAAGGTGGGAATAAATTAGCATGTGAATTCTATATATTTTGGGCCTACAGCCACTGACTTTACATTTGTAGAAAAAAGGAAATTACAATACTAAACTTAGAAGAAATAAAATCCAAACTTGACAGTCATTTTCTAAACTTATGTATTTTAACAGCAGCTATTCCACATGTTCTTCAAAATGTACCCCCATCATTTATTGTCTTATTTATTTCTAGGATCACAGACCTGGGTAACCTAAAAAGAAGACTTTATCTATCTACTGTTCATAAGGAAGTATCTGCTACCCCCTTGCATGCAAAGATACCTCTTTCATGTCTGAAACGCAGCATCGTAAGTACTGTACATGGATTCATTTTACAATATATCACTTTAATTGCCAGTACAAAAGTGCTGTTATAAAAAGTGTAAAATCAAAGAGTTAAATATAAAGAGTGGAAAAATTACTCTCTTTATCATTTTTAAACTAATCCTGGTGTTGGCATCCTTCCTTTTCTAAGAGGACACTCCCGTTGACATATTACTTGGTTGTTATTTATACAGAAAGTTTTTAATTTACTTGCACATGTAGATCCACATAGACATCTTCTTAATTTTTTATCACAATCATTACACATCCTTTTTTATAAAAAATAGAAATCATTGTTAAATTTATTTTCTTTAGAAAAAGACATGTGTTTTCCACTTATACTGTAAGAGGGTGGTGGGTGGAGGCAAGATGGGATACTTCTCGGAACTGTATAAGAGTTTTGAAGAGTCTCTGAGAAAGACTTAATTTTGTGAAAGAGTTTTGTGATGCTATTAAGCCCATTAGCTGCCCATCCCTTTATAGAGAAGGACAGAATAAGTCTAGTTATAGTTCAGACATAACTAGGCTTTTGTTTTTTGAGGTTTTTATTTTTTCCGTGCACTGTAAATAAAAAGGACTGCTTTTTTACCTGATGGCTTTTTAAATATTCCATTCACGAGTATGCCATATTTGGCCAATAATGTAAAGTTTTTTGGAGGGGAAAACCCAAAATGGAGTATTTGATTAAACAGCTGATCCTGTATACCCTGAAACAGCATACAGTAAATAAGGCCAAAAATGACCATAATTCAGTTTAGTTCAGAAAATATTTTTTTCTGCCCATTCAGGGCCTGGGGTGCAGTAGGAAATGAAAGTGTCTGTTTCTCAAGACAGTGTGGAACAAAGTCATGGGCAATCACTCCTAAAGCTACTGGAATGCGATGGATGAAAAAATGGAACAAGAACTGAGAGAGGGGATAGGATAAAAAGAATCACTGAATTACTGAATTTAGGTTATTAGCCTTTTCAAGAGCATGCAAAGTTCAACAGCATCTAACGTGCACCAAACTGATAACAGAACTGAATAAGAGGGCATAAACACTGTTGGCTAAACAGTGCCAAGAGAAAAACCTGGAGATCAAGGAGGCTGACCTTGAAAGATCAACCCCTTGCAATCTAGCCTGGCTATGAATAAACATACTTTGCAGAAGCATCTGAATGAAGTTCGGTAAGAGGTGAGGTAGCAACCAAAGAACCTAGAGACTGAGGTGACCAATTTAGCGAGACATATGAGCAAACGTCACTCCAGCCAAGATGTGAGTCAATGAAGAAGCCTGAATAAAGTAAATAAAGAACAGAACATCCTGCAGCAACAGCAGATCACCTTCCAGTAGAACTGGAAAAGGTCAAGCAAGAGAGGAGTACACTCACCAAGCTTCAATCTAGGGTGTTAAGTGCAATGGCAGAAGTGGAAACGGAAGAAACATCTTCAATCCCAGCTAAAACTGGCTGTTGCAGAGAAAGATATAGCTGGAGGAGAGGAGTCTCTCCATAGAGGCCTTCATAAGAGCAAAATAAAAGAATGAAACAAAGTGATTGAAAAGATAGAAAGCCACAAACATGGTGTCAAAAGCTGGGAAACATAGTAAATTTACAGTAGCTTGCTAAAGAAATATGCAAAAAACAATTTAGTAGTGCTTAGACTGAAAACAATGTGTTTTGTAGCTGAAACCCTGGGAGAGAGGCAGCTTCCCCAGTTACAGTCTCTACTGAAACAAAACATGGCAGACGTTTAAACAATCAGCAATATCTGGCCCAGGAGAGAAGCTGGTCTAAGAGTAGGCCCTTGCTCAATAGACAATAGAGCCACTGTTTGCATACCAAGAGAACCTTGACATGAGGGAGAAGGAACTGCCTGTTCCCCAGGAGTCCCTGGAAGTGATGAACAGAAACAGCCTTGGCAAAGCCACCACCCGTGGAAGAAGTGTGTGAGAGGCTGTCTGACTGGCCCCTGACTGTGATGGAAGAAAAGGTTCAGGAGTAAAATAAACTTAAGACACTGAGACAGAGGGTTTCTAAAACCCTTTGCATTCTTAGATCGGGCAACCCCATTAGTAGCAGGACCATTACCAAAAGAGATGGCTGCCAATGCTGATGTCATTAGTTCCAAACACGAGCGAAGGGCTGATGCCAGTATTCACTGATAATAAAGATCAATAGATGGTACTTGTGGTGTGCTAGATGTTAGTCATAAGTTGAACTCCATAAATCCATTTTTAAAAAATGAGAATTTAACTATCATAACACTGATGTAAATTACGCTAACATACAGTATGAGTAAATCAGTAGTGTAAATTGTAAAAGTTATCATACAATGTAAATGCAGGTACTGTGGATTTAGGGGTTGTATAGTTCTATAAATCACATTCTCACACCAACCTCAAACATCAGGGCTGTAGCATGACTGCAGGCTTCTCCTGACCTGAAAATTCAGAGCCTTGACTGCAACCATCTAACAATTTCAGTTACATCTTGTAGTTGTAGTTCTTTTTAAAATCCACTAAGTATGGCATATTAATAGGGAATCATGTAACTAAAGGATCTTTATGTAGCTGAAAATAAAAATAGTTTCTGAACATCATAAATAATAATAATTTATGGATATAAACTTTGAATATACAGTAGTGAGTACTGATGACATATTCTATTTTGTATACATCTGCATTGAATTCTTTATCTCGTTCACCTGTGGTTATTTTGGAAACATTTTAACATGTTCGTTTTAACTACATTTTGCTGTTGTTATTGTTATCATGGAAAATGAAGTGCTTATACACTAGCTTGGAATGTAGCTTGTCCAAACTGTGTTACGGTGGTAAAATGCTTACCAGCCACCTGAAAGGTCCCAGGTTTGATTCCTGGTCAATGCACAGGTTTTATTTTTAACAAATAAACACTTACTACTAATAAAAATATAATATTTAAAGTATGTTGTGAGTTTTATTTCACGTCAAAGTATGTTAAATATTAAAATAATTAAAATAATAGTATTATAACATGAATGAAAATGAGTCAGTTAGCAAACGTGAACACTGTGAAAATGGTGGGAGTGAAAACCAGTTTTGCCAGTTTACAACAACCCTTAAATAGCAACTGAGGTTTATAATTGTGTAGTTTCTTTTAGATTCTAATCATTATAGCCACTATGTATAATATATTTTTACAATTATAATCTAGTTTCATAATGTTCGATAATGTTTGATCTCCCACCACCCCCTTTTTCCCACCTTTGTGAACGACAAGGCTGGACTCTCCTGTAGAGTGAGAACTGCAAAAGTGAAAGAAGGGTACGACAGATTAAAGTATGAGTTATGCTTTACCTGATCATGTTCACAGATATAAACAGTTTAAACTAATGTGATATTTAACTGCAGTTAGTCAAGAAACAAACAAGTACAGCAGCCCTCACAACTGAAGAAGGCTCCATGCCTGAAACATTGTGTTTTCTTTCTTCTCTTTTCAGCATGGAATAAACCTATTACTTGTTCCCTTTCAAGTACAGCAGCTTCAAGTTTGAATTTCAGTTCATTTCAGTTCATTTCAGTTTGTCATATGCACAAGTGCTGTGAAATGCTAATTTGCATGTAAGCTCCAATACAAAGACATTAAGGAAATACCAAAAAACATAACCATAGAATAGTAGAAGCAACAAGTTAAATAACATACAACTTAAAAAAACATCATTGTGACCCAGTGGTAGGGATAGAATTTAGTAATTTGACTGCTTGTGGGAAGAAACTGTCTCTGAATCTGGAAGTTTGTAACTTTATGCTCCTATAATGCTTACCACAGGGGAGGAGGGGAGAAAAATGAGAAACCAGGATGACTGGTATCCTTAGCAATACTTCCAACTTTCCTGATACAGGGTGTTGTAAAAATGTCCGAAATAGAGGGGAGCTGTACTCCAATGATTGAGTGGGCTGACCTGTTCACCCCCTGTAATGCCTTCCGGTCAGACAACTAGCTGCAATCCCACACGTGAGCACACTCTCAGTAGCACACCTGTAAATGTAGTAAGGACAGTTGAAGATAGACCAAATTTTTTCAACTGTCTGAGGAAGTAAAGGTGATGTTGTGCCTTCTTTGTAGTTCCAGTTACGTGCTGGGACCATGTTAAATCATTAGTGATGAAGGTACCCAGGAACTTGAAGCTGCTAACCATCTCATCAGCCACCCCATTGATGTAAATAGGGGAGTGGTCCCTGTCCAGCTTTCTAAAATCGATGACCAGATCTTTGGTTTTGCTGACTTTGAGGGAGAGATTATGCACAACTCCACCTGGTTCCTGACCTTATCCCTGTATGCTGTCTCATCATTTGAAGTGATCCGGCCAATAATGGTAGTGTCATCAGCATATTTGTAGATGGAGTTGGAGCTATGTCTGGCCGCACAGTCGTGGGTAAACAAGGAAAACAGAAGGGGGCTAAGCATCCTATGTTGACGGTCAGCGTGGAAGAAAGCTTTTCATCTAACCTCACAGTCTGTGGTATGCCAGTCAGGAAATCCATATTCCACCTGCAAAGAGAGGTGTTGATTCCGAGGTCATTAAGCTTCCTGACTAGTCTGGAAGAAACTATCGTGTTAAATGCGGAGCTATAATCAATTAAATAGCATTCTGACATATGCGTCTTTATCATCCAAATAAGGCAGGGCAGTGTGAAGAGTGAGAGAAATAGCGTCGTCAGTGGACATGTTATGCCGGTATGCAAACTGCAGGAGGTCTAAGCATTCAGGTACCACTATATTAATGTGTCTCATGACTAGCCGTTCAAAGCATTTCATTATGGTGGATGTGAGCGCTACCAGTCTGTTATTAAAACAGGTCACAGTATTTTTCTTTGGATCTGGTATAATGGTAGTTTTCTTAAAACAAACAGAAATGGAAGATTATAAACGTAAAAAAATTAAAATATCCATAAAAACTGTGGCCAACTGGTCTGCACATGACTTAAGGACCCATCCTGGAACGCTGTCCCGGCCATTC